TTCTGTTCTTTATTAACAAGGGGTAAAGAAGTGGGACACCTGGGTGCTTCAGGTTAAAGCTCTGCCTGCAGCTCAGGTCATGATCTCAGGGTCCTGGGATGGAGCCCTGCATTGGGCTCTCTGCTCAGCAGGGAGCCTGCTTCCCCCACCCCCCCACCTGCCTCTCTGCCTACTTGTGATCTCTCTCTCTCTATCTGTGTCAAATAAATAAATAAAATCTTTTTTAAAAAGAGCGGCGGGGGAAAAGTAATTACTAGATTCTTACCAATTTTTGAGAACATTTCCCTGGAAAGACAGGCGTTAACTATATTACATTGAGAAAAATGAGACTTAGGTAGGTTAAGAGATTTATGTAGAATCATAGATGAGAGCCAAGACAGGTTTGTTTCTACTACATCGGATGTCTTTCCACTGCATCAAACAATAAGTATCCAGATTATTCCATGTTAACGATCTGTGATTAACTCATAATTCACTCAAAATATATTCATTGTTAATTCCTTTTGTTTTTCAAAGTGTCATGGAAAACACCTTTATTCCATTAGCTGGCATTCCCATTCCTTACATTTTTCCTCTCCTAATACATGTAGTCCTAGGTTGGGGGAGGAGAAAGGGAGATCAGAGAAAAGTGAACTTAGTAAAATGTATATTTTCCAGAATTTCTTCAAAACTGTTGAAAAGTAGAGTTGTGGTTCTTCATAGCAACTCCCACAAACAGCCTGATATTCTTTACATTTTAAGTATTTTTTTTCCATTTTAAGTATTTCAAAGACTTACTTTTTGTCTAACATGGTATTATCCTAAGTGATGCTTGTTAATCACTCTCTATATGGCAAACATTACACGCAAAACCCATATTTATTATCCTATTTAATCCTCACAAGACCTAAGGTAGGTTACTATTTTTATCTTCATTTTACAGAATAAAAAATAGGCCTAAGTGATAAAATAATCACTCAAAGCACACAACTAGTAATAGTAAGGTTGGAGCTCAAATGAAAGTCTATTGGATTTGTAGTCTTACTCCTTATTGGTGGCAGTATTTTGTCTTGCAACTTGTACCTTAAAAAAAAAAAAATCAACTATAGTAAAGTAATGGTACTACAAAAAATGCTTTGAATCAATGGAACAATGAGCCTATTTCAGAATAAGAAATTTATGACAGAATGGAAGGGGAAAGGTGAAAAGGAAACATCTGGTTTATTCAAAGAAATTGCAACTGAACATAGCTATGAGATTGACAAGTTTAGCTAACACATGTGACCAAGTGTGTGGATCTCCAAAGCAGTCACCTTGGGAAGACAAATGTTTAATTAAGCAGTATCATCATTGCTACAACCCACTTTTAGGCCTGTTTTAGGTCTGCTTATTTTGTGTATACATCTAACTTTTTAAACAGCAATGACAAATATATGTATTATTCAGTTTGTAAGTGATTGCATACTTAATTTACCAGATTTGATGATGAACAACTTTTTGGATATTGTCCAAAGTCAAATCCAATCTTTAGAGGAAAAAATTGTTGACTTTGCAGGAATTCCCTAAAACTATGATTCAGATTCTGAACATAATTCCTTAAAAAAAGGCTTTTAAATTTTTTTAGCTATGGCAGCAAATTGGGATCATCAATTACAAATAAGAGCTTATTGTATTCCAAGGTGAATATTCTAAATATTTCAATATTGATACATTCTAAGGTGAGTACGCCCATATGATTGTTTGAAAACAATAGCAAAAAAAAAAAAAATCACAAAAAAGGAAAGATGTTTGGACTAGATAAACTTAAAGTTCAACCTATTATAGCACAATTATGCAGCTTCTTCAAAAAGAACTATTACTGTGGGACTTCCTCAAGTAAATTATTCTCACGAACCCACTCCTTGTTCAATAATTTGAGGAGATTATCCCATCCAGTACCAGTGACCTGGTTACAGGTGGAGTCTCAGAAGTCTTTTACCTAGAATTAAAAATGACTGTCATGCAGGGTCATAATAATCAAGGCAGAGGGCATTTATAAGCAGGAAACCAAAACAGTAGCCAATATATCAGCTGGGGAAGCTTCAAGATATAGAATATTCAGTGACATACAGCTTAAATAGAGCTTTTTTCCATATAAAACGAGAGTCCAAAAGTAGCTAGTCCAGGACTAATTGAACAACTCAAGCACGTCATCAGGAACCGGGTTTTCCTAATCTTTCTTCACCATGTTTCAGGGATTGGCCTTCAACTTTCTGCTTCATAATTTCAAGATGGTTGCTTCACCTCCAGACAACACACAATATCCAGGTAGATGAAAGCAGTAGGGCAAATGAGCAAAAGGTGGTGGCAGCTATGTCTATTCTTCTGTCATCAAGAAAGCAAAAGTTTTTCCAGGCAACCCTTAAGCAAATATATAATTACATCAAATTTTCCAGAACTGTTTTAAACAGCCAGTAATAGTTGCAAGGAAAATTGGGAAATCAGATATTCAAATTTCCAGGTCCTAAATTGAAGACAAGGAGGGTGCCTGGGTGGCTCAGTTAGTTGGGCAACTGCCTTCAGCTCGGGTCATGATTCTGGAGTCCTGGGATCGAGTCCCGCATCGGGCTCCCTGCTCAGCGGGGAGTCTGCTTCTCCCGCTGATCTCTCTCCTCTCATGCTCTCTGTCAAATAAATAAATAAAATCTTTAAAAATAAATAAATAAATAAATTGAAGACAAGGAGGGAGGAGGTTGAGAATTTGTGTTGAGTGAGCCCAGTTACATTATCTGTTTCAATAAGGCTTACATTTTACTACGAAGTGTGTTTTCACACTTTGTATCATTAAATCATCACAATAGAAGTTGGTCCTTGTTCTTTTAATTTTATTAAAGAAGGAAGTGTGGTCTAGTGTGGTTAAGAGAATGCCCAGTTTACCTAGCTTATAAGCATTGGAGCCAATTTCGATATGACTCCAGAAATCCTGCTTTCCAACATGGGCAAAGACATCATAAGAGCACAACAACAATGCTTTCCCAAAGACTGAACCTCCTCTTAAAAGGTAGCGTGAAGGAGACTCTTCAGAATCCATTACTGGATTCTTACACAGTGATCTTGTTTTTACCTGTCAGAAAGCTTGTTGAGAAGTTCCTAAAAGGAGAAAGTCAAGGTCGTTTAGGATTAAGCGCTGTATCCCATTAGTCACTGAAGCCTTTAGCATGACTCTCAAAATTCACCCACTGGTGGGAGATTTACAGATGGTGAATTGCTTATTTAATACCTGGCTTATATATTTTCCAGACTTGGTTTGCTTTTATTGATTATAATGTATTCCTTGATGTATGCCAAAGAAACTGTTTGTCCTCTATTTTCTCCTGCTACATAGAGCTGGCCCTGAAATAAATGAAGCCTATAATAGTATTAATAAAAATAGAAAATAGAACATAGAAAATAGAACATATTACCTTTGTCGGGTATTAAACACTCTCTTTTCAGAATGTACTATATAATAGGTTATTGTGGCATGTGCTAGGAAATTTTGGTAGAATAAACATCTTGTAGGATGGTAGATTTTAAAAAGTATCTACAGTTTTTCTTTGGATTTGATATATCCTTCCCTCCTAGGAAACTTTCAGTTTACATTTAGGTATATGACTCTGGCCAATTTGCTACAACTGTTTTCCACACGAGGCTCAAGTTCTCATTAATGCTGAGTGCATTGATGTGTCTTAATAATCTCCAACTGTGCTAACTTCTCCCAGGTGCAATCTTATGTTTCACAGGGTTAATACGTTTAACGTATACACTTACTGGAGCTGTTTTTATCCCATCTTAAAAGTTTGATTTAGTGAAAGACCCAGTTTCCAAATTTATCGTTCATTTCTTTTGTCTACTTTTCAAAGTGTCAAGGAAAATACCTTTTTTCCATTAGTTAGCATTCCCATCCCTTCCGTTACTCTGCTCCTAATGATGTCGTTCTAGGTTGGAGGAACAGAAAGGGTGATCAGAGAAAAATGAATTTAGTATAATGTATGTTTTCCAGAATGCCTTCAAAACTGTTGAAAAGTTCATGAGGGTAAAGTGGGAACTTACCCGGCCAGCTAATGAGCTATTCTTTAAAAAAAGGTCATAGTTTTCAACCAGGATAATATGTTCAGAGGAAAGTATTTAGTATCTTGCCCATCTAGGTCTTGAGGACTGGAGAGCTTAATAACAACATAAACTTTTATTGTTTATTATTATACTTACAAATTGATGACTTAGTACAAAAACCATTTGCTATTTCCACTCACTATTTTTAGCTAATTACATTATGCAAAGTATTAGCAAGATAATGTAAATGCAACTTTTTTTTTTAAGTTTTCATGCTCATAGGAGGTATTTATGTAGAAACAATTATTTTGTTATAATTATATGTAATTCTTATTCTTCCTCATTAAGGTATATCTCTAGGGATTTCTTCTAAGTACACCTCATTAAATCAGTATTGCTGTCAGTCAATATATTACTTAATAAGTCAATTTATTTAGATTTTTCACTAATTCTAACTGGTCTTCCTTCCTCCCCAATCTTCCCCCCTTTACTTAGTTATGGAAAATATGTGAACATAAGTCTGGTACTACCTTCAAATCATAGAATTGTTAAAAGTTGTAAAAAGTAACTGGTTAAAAAAAGAGAAAGTTTTCTGTGACATTATAGATTTATAAGACCTGAGGGAACCCCACAAAATCAATACCACACCCTTCTTTTCCTATGCTAAAAGTCTTGTGACAGGATCTTTCCTTCCCATCTACAAAAGGTGGTTTCTTATTAGAAGCAATTAAGCAATTAAGCAATCCCCTCCTTTTACCTTCCCCAGATATCAGAAGCCTTTTGAGGAGGGTCATAAAGATTTTTCTTAGGGAATTCCCATAGCCTAGAACAGGCTGCATAACCTATATACACAGATTTTAAGTGATTAATAAATAGTTGACATAAAAAGGGAGAGATGTTTCATTAGACATAAATGTCCTGTTTTCTCTCTGCTTATTGCTTTCTTCTAGCTGCTATAAGGCATCAATGATGAAAAGAGAGGAGTTGATTACGTAGTGTCAGAGACGTGGCGCTCCATACACTCTAATCAACGTAAGTAAATACCCACGCGGTTTTGGAGGAATCGCTCAGGTAGTTTGGAACAGGTGCTTTGTAGCCACATCAAGAGTACACAGCATCGCAGTAAGTTGGAAATAGAACGTTGACCTGTAAAATAATAGTCTATTTGTCCACGTAGGGAAATTAAAGCCCTGTGAGACTTCCCTGTACTTGGAAAAAAAAAAAAAAAACAGTGCTTGTGAGTTGGATTCTTCTGACCATTAACAAAATTGAAAGAGGAATAAAAGTGTATCCGTGGACGTTTTCAACAGGACTAGAGGAAGTCAGGGAAGCAAAGATCCAGGATTCTACAAAGTGTGCAAAAGGAGAGGCATTTTTAGTGCTTTCCGCCTGCCGGGGGCAGCGGGGGCGAGGCCGAGAACCTAGTGAGGCAGGAAGAGGTGTCAGGTCTGTAGGCGGGAGAGAGGGAAGAGGTCGGGGGTCGAGTCTGGGAGTTGGTGACTTCGCTGCGCACCTGCAGGGGCGGTGCTCCCCGGCACAGGAGGACCTGGAACAGTGAACCCGAAGGGGGGCGTTGGCCCTAGGGATACCCACCAGCCCGGGACCCAACCCTTCGCCCGACCCGGCGTATCGGACCCCGGAATTCATTCCAGCACCCTGGCAGCCCCTCCCTGGCCAGGTGGGCTATCGGTCTGGGTGCCAGATTCCTCCCCCACAGGCTGCGCGTGGTCAGAGTGCAAGACCCCCTCCTGCAGTGTCCTCCCCAGCCTGGGTGCCTCTCGGGTTGCTTTTCTTACCCTCCTCGCCCCGCCGCCCGCCCCCTTGACAGTCCCTGGGCTCCAGAGCAACGCGGTGTGCGCGGGAGCGCTGTCCGGCGCCTCCCGGAGCCGGGTGGAGTTGGTGGTGCGAGTTGACTCACAGTTGCAAACTATCCGCCAGTTAATATCCCGCTCGATCCCGCACCCACCCCGCCCGCTCTTCTTGCCCTTCCTGCGCCCCTATTTTCGATTTTAGGATTTTCTGTTTCCTTAAGTGTTTGGATAAAATCGCTGTCCATGATCTACTGAGCTAGAAATGACCCCCTGGTTTTCATACTTTTTTTGAACGCTGACTGCAGAAAATGCCATGGGGGGGGGAGGGTTGGAAGGAGTGTGTGTGTGTGTGTGTGTGTGTGTGTGTGTGTGTGTGTGAGAGAGAGAGAGAGAGAGAGAGAGAGAAACCGACCTGGGGGAGGGCAGGGGGCTTCCCTCTCCTGGAGGACAGACAGAATGATACATACTGTCATTAACAGTTTTGACCCACCCAGACCCCACCCTTCGGTTGCATCCATCACACAGTCATTACAAAGGGGCTGCGCTGTCACACGGCTTGCCCTGCTCCTGGGGCTCTCAGACTGGCTTAATGAGGTGCACCCAGCCGGGACTATTGTGCAGCGCGAATGAGGCAGGAACGCTACGGCAACGATCCTAGCAGCTGCTCGCAGCAGCCCGGCAGCAGCCAAACCCAGACCTCCAGTGGATGGATGCCTCTGGAAGTGTTTTCCTGAACGAACCCATCAGGCAGTGGAAGACTGTGACAGGGCTAGTGAACTTAGATGGGGCATTCCTCTCCTGCAGTTGTGCTGGCTGGAGGCAAGTGCAGTCACTCGGGTAATCGCTGGGGTGCTGGGAGCGCGGCGGGCGAGGGCGAGTGGGTGGGTGATGGTGGTGGTGGTTTTAAGGCAGTCCTCAGTCCAAAGATGGCTTAGATCAATTTGCCCTCCAACCACTCAACTCTCCTTTTTACCTTTTGTTTTGTTAGCTTGGCTTTTTCCACCGCCACCCTCTCCCTCCTGTGGTGTGAACCGTGCGTCTTGCTCTGAGGTTTGTGCATTTAAATGTAATTCTGATTGGTGAATGTTCTCTCCTTTTTGTTGTGATTACTAGAGATACTTTAGTCCTGCCTTCCCAGTTCTGCGCCCTGCACAAGCAGTTTTGAAAAATTAAGTGCAAAAAGCATGACAAAGCAATATGAGGTTGCTGTGGTAAGTGAACTTTTAAACCAAAAATTACCATTTCTTCTCTTATATTTGGTCTGTGGGTGGTTTGAAGGGGAATCATCACACACAAAGGGCTCCGGGCTGGGAAGAGGGGGTGGTGAAACAAACAAAAAACAGTAGTTCTAATTTTGTTCTTCTTTTAACTGTGGTCAGTAGAGATGTTCTGCATTTATCCGGTTGATTCTCTTGGGATGGTAATGGGCTTGATGCGTTTAAAGTGGGTGAGAGTTGGCAGTCTGCAGGGTGGAGGGGCAGGGGAGGGAGTCGAAGGGAACAAGGTTATTGTCTGGTTTCTAAAAGAACGTGCAGCTCTGACTTCCTGAACTCAGCACAGTAGCCGGGTCTTCCTGATCTAAATCCTTAAGGAGAAAAAGAACAATGGGGTCTTCCTCAATCACTACAACTATCTCTGTGCCCTCACCTGTACTGGTAGACCTCCTCCTTCCATCTTCACACTTCTCAGGTAGCAACATTAGAAGCCATTATTCTTAGGGAAATTCTAAACACTCATGGATGGTAAAATAATACATTTGGAAAGCTGTAATCCTAAAAAGAGGTTTGAGGCTGGAGAAAAGAATTGCTTACCATCCCACTTCCCACGTCTACCTTCTCGTCTCCTTGTCCTCTCTCCTTTTAAACTAAAGAGTACAGATTTAAGGGTCCTTCCCCAACCTCCTCTCCTGATCCCTTTTTATTGTTTAAAAATGGGAGGTGTGTTCCAGAGAAGGATTTCTGAGTTTTGTCCCTTTATCTCATTCACTTTCTGAGAATAGCTATGCAACTTAATGTTTGCGGTATGCTTAACCATTTCAAGTTTGGTAAAAGGTTCAACCTTTCCTCTGGAAAACTCTAAATTGTTTGGCCAGCTCTGACTTAAATAAAAAAAACACTAGCAGTGCTCAGTACTCTTAACTTTTTCTGTTTGTGAATCTGGTTACCTTTTAATTTGTCAAGGGCTGTTGTCATGGAGATGACTGGGATGCCCTATATTGGTATGGACCTGCAGATTCTCTGGTGAGGCAAGGCCATCTGAGTTTTCTCATTTGAAGGACGGAATGGAAACAAAAATGCCCCCTGAGAGGAATGGTATTCATGTTTTGTTGAAACCATTCTTAATTATCATTATTTTTGGTAATTATGTATGCAGTATAATTGCATATGCTTGCATTTTTCTAATCTAAACCTATAAGTTATTACAAACTTCCTCTGATCACAAAAAACACAGAAAATAACTTTTTAAGCTGATTACATTGCAACAGAGTTCATGAATTTTGTTGGGCATATCATTTAATAACTTAATTTAACAGCTGATTTATTTTTGGTCTCTTCTTCATGAAGTTGTTGGAATTTACCAGTAACTATCAAAGGAAAGTGAAAGCTTATGCAGTTGGCTTCCCAAATCACCACTGTTGCTGTTAGTCTTGCCATTTGCGATCACCTTCTTTAAAAAGTTTTCTGTTTGAGACTTTAAAAATCAAATAGCTAACTAAACTACTCATCTGTTGGTACAAGCAGAGTCAAGTCAGTGGAACTTTGAAAAAAAAATTTTTTTAGAAGGGGTTACATTAGAATATAGTATTTTATATATTTGTAGTAGCAAGAGTTTCAATTGGGAATTTTGCTTTTTTTTTTTTTTGGTACTAATATTCTTGGACTATAGCCAACTAACAATATTTTTAACTCTGTAATTTATTTTGGACCATTATACTCAACCGTCATACCTATTCTGTTTTGCGACTAATCTTAATCTATATTGGTACTGCCTGGTTTTTGCCTTTTTTTTTTTTTTTAATGAACATCTTAAACTGTATTTATGTAAGGAATATAAACAAAGTAAGAATTCACTACTACTGCTGTACAGATATTTGCAAGTAAATTTATGGCCTGGATATATGCAAAGTTAGATCACTTGGATACTTGGGGGAAAACAACTTTAATCTGAATTATTTGATAATACTCATAATCTCAACTAAGCCCTCAACTTTACTATAACTTTTCATCTACACATTGAAAATACTGTTTTACTTGAAGACATTCATAAAACTTATTATTTAAAATAACTTGGGTAATTTAAAGTTGTCTAAATGGTAATTAATAATGGTGCATATAGTTTAATATCTTATAAACGTAGATTATTTAATGCCATATATTCCTGGCACTTTCCCTCCTTAATTCCACAATTCTTTGGCAATTTTAGATTTACTAAATTTTCTCAATATGGAAATTTCTTTATATCAGAATGTAATACTATAATCATTTCTTTCCTCCATGTTCTAATTATATGTCATTAGCTCATTAGAAATACAGTGGCCATGTTCTGATATTTTCCATAAATTTTACAAAAGCAGAAAGCTTATCATCATAATAACAAAATTCTAAGTGTTTTCAACTAAGCAATATTCTCATAGAAATAGTCATTGCTTCCCATAACATTGACTCATTTTATGTAAATAGGTATCATATATAAAGGGGCAAAATAGATGGGATAGATGTAGGGAGTGCAGGTCAGTGGCAGCTAGGGTCATCTAATATTACATTGAACATTTTATCTCTTGTACCCTATCTAGGACATGAAATGTGCTTGCAATCAAACAAGCAAAAGAGGAATTGCTGAAGTGGTATTATGATTTTAACAATTCAAAAATAACCTTCATTTCTTACTTCTAATTAGTATTAAACTTAATGTATGCCTTTTATCAAGTAGACAATCTAAAGCAGCTAAGAAGTTAACGTTAATAGTTAACATTTGTTGTCTACCTGCCATGATCCAGGCATGAATCCACTCATATGTGAGTGCTTTACATGTATTATCTTAGTTAATCTTCAAAACACACTAGGAGGTAGGTTTTATTATGCCTAGCAACTAAGTAGAGTAAGGTCAGTCAGCTTAATGAGCATTTGAATCAGATCTATCGAAACTTGATCTAAAATCAAACAAAATGAAAATCAAATAATAGAAAATATGAGATAATTTTCTGAATTTAAAGAGACCCTCCACATAAAACCCACATGATCTCCACAAATTCCCAAGGTAGGAATGATTACCCTTAATCTTGGCACTTTCTTTGATAAAACGTTTTTGAAGAAATAAAGCTTATTTTCCTAAGCTTAATTATTCCTAATCATAACTCCCAAATTGGGTGAAAGCACATTAGGCTAATTTGTTGGTTGCTTCTCTCTTGGGACAATAATTATGGAGAACTTATTGCATTCTCCATCCCACCCCAAAAACAAGCAAAAGGAAAGCAAGATTAAATCAATTATAATGACAAAAGTATTTTTAAGTAAGTACCAACAATGCCTACTTACTAAAAGGAAAACCTAACTGCAAAATTAGTTTTCCTTAAAAGAGGATTTACAATCAAATAAGTAGAGTGATTTTTAAAAAAATTTTACCAACTTAAAATGCTCTTTAATTTTTCATTTTAAAGACTTTGAAACTTTGAATACAATAATATTTGTCTAAGTAATGAAATGTTACGTGATTTGATAAGTGGCAAATCATTTAATTATTTTTTGCCATACTTAGGTATTTTTTTTTAAGATTTTATTTATTTATTGGACAGACAGAGATCACAAGTAGGCAGAGAGGCAGGCAGAGAGAGAGGAGGAAGCAGGCTCCCTGCTGAGCAGAGAGCCCGATGCGGGGCTCGATCCCAGGACCCTGGGATCATGACCTGAGCTGAAGGTAGAGGCTTTAACCCACTGAGCCACTGAGCCACCCAGGCGCCCATACTTAGGTATTTTTTAAGTAAGTTTGCCTTGATAATACCTATAATCAATTAACTTCTGCTGTAACTATCTTGTGAACTTTTAAACTGCCCTGATTTATTTAACTAAAGAGACATATAGAAAGTGATGTAGAAAAAAAAAAGTGATGTAGAGTGGTGGGTACTAAGGAGGGCACGTATAGCATGGATCACTGGGTGTGGTGCATAAACAATGAATCTTGGAACACTGAAAAAATAAAATTAAATTTTAAAAAAAGAAAAATAGAATTTTCAAATGAGATTCCATTATTTGATTCCTTTTTAAATATGCAAGATGATAGACTTTCAAATATTAGAAAAAGATTCCCTTTAAAAAGCTCTAATTATACTCTTTTTTTATTTATGAAATCCTTGAACCTGAGAGATTGGGACACAGATATTGCATCTGCTCTGGTTTGCTTATTTATTAACTTGAATCTGCAAAAATGGAGATGAGAATCCATTCAAGTTCCCTTAAGTACAAATGAAAAAATATTTAAGGACATCATTTCCATTCGACAGAAAACTGCTCGATTTTTCACTTTCGCCTGAGAAGAAATGAAAGTACTCAGAATAACTCTGTCTGCGTGTTATGCAATAAATGGTCTCCTGAGTTGTTTAGTGTAAACATTTTTTTTAATTGGGTTACTTTTTTAAAATGCACAGAGCTCACATGTTAAAAGAGCATTTTAATTTATGTTCTTATCAAGAGAAGAACTTTTTAGAAATTGATTGGTCTGATTTGTGTCAGCCTTTTATAAAGTGAAATCATCCAGATCTATCATATTTACTTTTATTTTCTTTAAAGATTTTATTTTTAAGTAATCTCTGCACCCAACATGGGACTCAAACTCACAACTCCAAGATCAAGAGTAATACACCCTACTGACTAAGCTAGCCAGGTACCCCATAAATCTATCATGTTTAAGCCCCAATTATTATGAGAGTCCCAGTAGCTTTTTTTTTTTAAGTCTGGTAACTTTTGATTTTTAAGAACCATGTTACAATCAGAGAACTGTGGGGCTTGAGTGTTTCAACCTGGCAATATTCTAGCTGTTGGTCACATATAACTCAG